TTAGGAAGTTATGCAGAAGCATCGGAAAACATGACGGGACTCAGCGTAAGAGGAAATTTAGTACGCGGAAATTCAAAAACAGGAAAACCTTTTTGAAATTTGTTCGTGTAGCCTTCCTTGCACTTAAAGCAATACAATACTCCTACGCGTAGTCCCGAAACGACAATTTAACTGCATGTTGCAATTGTTCATTCTTGTTCAGTTAATGCTCCTCTTTTCTTCACGCGCATCTTCTTTCATTATGCTAAACAGCAAAACTGTTTTTCCCGGTTTTTTCACGCGAAAAAAACAATGAAAGTGATTCTCACCGGCTTTGTAAGGCAGGTGATCTGGATATAGCCCAAAGCAGCTCTTTTTTTCTTGTTAATTATCTCTTTTACTGGTGTGATGAAAAAAAAGCCGCTACGTTAGCCAGCTAATTTCACTGAATTACCCATTCATTTACGTTGAGAAAAAAGAAAACATTGCAGAAAGGCTGATGGAAATTTATATGAGTCCACGACGCGATTACAAACTCTCTTGAAAAATAAGAATGAGGTCTCTTGAAAAAACAGATCAGCCCCACCCCTGCTGATTTATTGTGTTTGAATAAGTTTTTCAGTTTACAACGCAAGAAAAACGGATAATTTCTCATGGGGGAGACAAAAGAAATGTTCTTTTAAAAGAAAAATACCTAGTTAAAAATCCCATTTGTATATTATTGATTCTGCAGAACTCAGTTGTAAAGGTCGTGCCGCGCTTTCCTTGCGCCCGTCGCATGCAGTTGTTTAGGCTCGCTTAGACCGGAGGCCATTTCTCGAAAGTCATGGTAACTTTTTGCCCAAAATCAAATCTCAAAACTAGTTGGGCGGGTCCTAGCTTAGCGCCTTAGCCTGCCTATTTCTGGCTAACAAACCAGTTCGTTTGTTTTATATAGTTTTACATTTATCATATTATTTGCAAAATTATTGAAACCATTACTGAATCTTCGATCTCAAATGTGAACAAAACAGGAATGGGACCCCAGACTCTAAAGGTCGGCGGAAATCCAGCCCAGGAGTGGGTGTTTTGTCTGAATGGGAACCTCAAGTTCTTAGTTTGGCGGCAAGTAACTTGGAAACAACCTTGAATAGATACCGACAAAGTTCTAATTTACCTTTAGAAAAAACCGCGTGATATTTTTTAAAAAACCTAATCGGCAGATCTTTTCGTTTTGCACCCTTTTTTGACCATAAAGTGACAAATCGCTACATGTGCAGAGGAGATAAATTCTTGTAAATGGAGAGGAGATAAATTCTTGTAAATGGCTTTTCAAAATCCTTGTCATTGCTCGACTTGATTACCAACCGCTGTTCGGAAAATGAAGGAACATTATACCTGCACAGCGGAGAAAGAGGCGGAAATCAAGCATTGCTTGCTCCCCCCCCACAGCCTAGTTTATGTGCGGATGTTTACTTTTTTAAAATTTTGTGCTGAATAATACGTATGAGCTTCCTTGTTAGCCTGCGAATACAGCCTCTCCTCCTCGCTCATCGCCGCTAGGGACGTTTCGCTCCCGGCGGCGAGGATCACTGTGGAAGAGATGGCTGTGTATTCGCAGGGTACCCCTTGTTTGTATTTTGGTCGGTGAGGTTTATAGATTATTAATACCATCAATAACTTAAATTTGTCCTCAAGGTAGGGACAGTTGTTACGCGGATTCTCCCGTTTAGACAAAGTAGTCGGGAGCCCATCAGGCCTAGAGTTTATGGACTCCTGCCACAGTCAGAGGATTGCAATAAAGTAGAAAGATGTGAACCTGTAATACTCGGCATAAATGGCATTCATTCATTAAATGGTAGTTCATATTAGTGACCCATAGTATTTCACAAGTGTGGCTGATAAAGTCGTAGTTAGATTTTAAGAACCCCATGCATTTTATTACGTGGCTGCTTCCACGAGCGGTCAAGATGAACCGAGTGAATCCTGTCACCCCTTATGATTGCAGGCTACCTGAGCGGGCAAGATTGGCGTATCTTACATGCTCAGTATTTCCCGCGTCGGTCCCGCAAGAGAAAAAGCACTCTGCCTTATAATAGTAAATCGTTTATTGACTAAACTTGTTTAGTCAAGATGGCTGGATATCGCCCACATTCTATTTTGTTGCGTTTTTATCAACCTCGGCTTCGATTCGGTCCATAAAAATGCCAAAAGCTATTTTCTGTTACTGAAAGAAGCTGATTTTCATGCATTTGTGACAGTAAGAAGCAACAGTCCAAAAATTGTTTGAAATGCATCTCATTTGCCTTATCGCAGTTAAATGGAATAAGAAAAACCAATTAAAATTATATTTCCCGATCGTAGATGTGTGAATGTTTAACGGAAACCGTTGCTGCTCGAAACCAATACTTGTAGGTTCATCTGAGGGGGCGACTGCTCAGAATTAACGTGCGAAAGTATAAAGAATCTGTACGATTCAGATTCCCAAAGATTGCTTTATTTTTCAAAATGTTTTGCGGGCTACTGAATTGCTTTTCATTTTTAACGAAAGGCTGTCAGGACAGCACCTGCTTTCATTGAATAAATCGTGTGTTTTCAGGAAGCTCTGCTAGAAGCTGTTTAACTGTTTATTTCTAATTTCTTGCTGTCAGTCATAAGATGCCAATTTACTTCCATCACATTAGCGTTTCCCCCTCGTAGCTACCGAGGTATGTTTATTTACATCTCCTGGCAGGGACTCAAACTTTTCATGTTGTGTAAACCTTATAAACAGGAACGTTTCTTGTGACAATTTTGATGTTTCGTAACTACATTTTCGAACCGGCTGAAACTTGCGCTATGGCTTGTTGATAAGAATGCTATTATTAGTGTTGCTTGTATGTGTATTTGACGAATACACTTGGCTAACGGGTAACTAGTTCGCTTTCACCCTTTTGTCTTGACTTTTTTTTCAGTCTTTACTGAAAGAAATGCCTTATTCAATTTTTAGAACTGCCTGCTTTTCCATTAAATTGAATGCGGAGGGGGTTTTTTTGTATTCGTTCAATATGGGATATTGTCGCTAAATCGTGATGGCTTCGTTAATAGTTTTTAAAACCAACATTCTATGGGTAATGGCGTTAATGTATTCAGTTTTATGATGCTTGATTGACATTTTGATAAAACTATTACATTGTAGCGACGAGACTACCATCTAAACTCAGTTTTCTAAAAAATAAAGAAAATGGAATATTATACCACAGCAAGGCTATAAAAGTGTACAAAAAAACGCGGGCAAAAGCATTTGTACCCAAAAACCACAATTTTCAAGAGCTTTTTAAAAATTTATTTAGTACATGGGTCGAGAGTGTTGCTAAGGTGTCTCCACAAAGCTTTTTTTGTTTCATTTTGTGCAATTTAAAGGATCTCAAATTCAATATCCGACTGTCAGGGGAAATTGCGTCCAATACCGTAAAGAAGGAAATCAGAAATGAAAAGAAGGAAATAAAATTAGCTTGCCTAATGTAAATCACCCGTGAAAAATTGTCAGTTTTATAAATTTGGCGGTACTAAAGTGCGGCAAAATTTTTGTATTATTGTTTTGTTTTTTGTCTTTTTTTATTGTTCGGATGTTTTGTACGCAATCTTTTGTAGGTAAGCGAATATTTAAAAGATTTTGTATCTCTGAAAAATAGAAGATGTAATAGACTCGCTTAATATTAGTGACGTAGTTGTTGCCCTTTCCCTCTGTCAGTTTGACCGGAGGTCGAAGAGGAAATTTGTCTAGAACTCGATTAGTTATTCTTTGCACGTTCGGATACAGTTCAGTTTCAATTTAGCTTTATCTGGAGTCAAAGTATAGCTTTTGACTGCCCTGGAAAGTTCCGGAAACGGTGCATCCTACTGTTATGCTTTCAGCGAACGCCATTTAAGAGCAGAATAAGCAATTCGATCCCCTTGGCACTGTCAATTTTGCTGTCCGACTCGGTTGAGCTTATTAATCCTTGTTCGAGTATCTATTTAATTTCTTGAAATAATATTTATTTGGCATTGGCTGCAAGTAAACTAAACATCTATACCAGCACCGAGAACTAATCTGTCGACTGTATTCACCCATCGTACGTGAGACCTTGTGAAAATATATAGCTTTTACAACCTCATTAGGACCTTTTAGGTTTTCGGAAAACTAAATTAGGGATGATGAGCCACCTCTCTTATATTGCACATTCGATATGACTGAAGTTTGTCCAACAGGAAGCAATTAGCTAGACAGATAACATGGTAAAAATTGCCGTAGTTCCAGCTGATTTTTATTTTCCCGCTTCTGGTTTATTAATCCAAAAGAACAATAACCATACGTGAGCATTTCTTTGATAGCACAAGAGATAAGAACAAGCTGTGAATTATTCCTAGCCCTCCGGTGTTTTAGAAAGAGTTTTTTCTTTCTTTTGCTTTTAAAAATAATTGCTGATGACAGGTCAACGTAATTAAAAAAAAGATAGCTGAAAATTCTCTCTCTCAAGTCTTGTTTTGGCACTTTGGCGCGAAACATCATCATTTTCCCGCGAAACTATGTCGATATCAATAGAAGGCATATATTTCGGCGCGTGATATGTTGCAGACGTTTTGCACGACCGTTGGTCGCTATCAGATATCGAGAAAGCGATACTGTTCTGAAGACTGCCACCGAAGCCAAATTCAACATAAATTTGCCTACCACCACGCTACAGTCTAAAACGTTTTTACAGAGACCAAAAATCGTCTATACCATCCATTTCGAAAATACTGATAGCAGATCGATAGCAATGGTGATAGAGACCACCGGCATAAAATGGTCGCATTTTGGTCAAAGCATACATTTGTTTGATATGAATTAGCTCCAGGTTGGCTAGCGCTAATCCACCACTATCGTATTCCTTGACAAATTGAGTGACAAAATTCGTAATGTAATCATTGGGGTCAAGAATTTAGCCTCTGGCACGGCTCGGTACATCGTTGCTATGGTTTGTGAAGCATCTGTCCCCCCGCAAATCGTTCAGTCTTTCCGCGTCTTGACCCCAGGAACGGTTTCGTTGGTTTAGTCCAAATCAATAATATTTTATTATCTCTGGCGTCCCTTTTTAATTGCTAGCTTATTTGAGCGATAATTACGCGCCGAGAGAGGATAAAAAGCCCCAAGCGACGTGCGGCGGTTTCAGTCGTTAAAAGGACAGACAAGCGCTACACTTGTCTCACTACAAACAGACATTCCGCGAGAACCACTTGCGTCATGGCTTCTAACAACACCTCCACTACAGCTCCAGAACTAGAATCCGTGTGTTCGGTAGCTACTCAGCCTGTATTTATTGTCTACACTGTATTTCTCGTGTTAATCATGTTGGCCACTTTGTTTGGAAACGCTCTAGTAATAACCGCGGTTTATCTGTTCCATCGCTTGCGACGAATGACTAATTTCTTCATAATATCACTGGCGGTTTCCGATCTGCTGGTCGCGCTGGGTCACTTACCGCTTCGCATCGACCAAAGCACGCACAATATGAATTGGTGCTTCGACAAGGCCGATGGAGTTGTCACGACTTGTGCATACTGGATAGCCGTGGACACAGTCTTTAGTAGTGCCTCCATCTGTAATCTTGTCGTCATCTCGATTGATCGCTTCCTAGCTATCACCAAGCCTTTCGAATACCGAAGCAGAATGACAAAACGGGTTGGATTTTCTTTGATCGCGTTTGTTTGGGTGTATGCAATGCTGTGGGGTGTTCTAAGCTTGGTTGACTGGACGGGCGAGTCCACGCCAAACAACCCGCATATTTCCGTCACGTTCAAAGCCGACACACAAGAGAGATCATGCGGCAAGAAAGATAGAGTTTACTACACTACAGCCATGGCCGTAGCGTTGTTCCTTCCGCTTCTTATAGTGATCGTGACATATTCGTGCGTGTTTCGTGTTGCCTTTACACAAGCAAAAGCAGTAGCTTCGCTGGACCCGAACAAGGGAAAGAAGCATATCTTGCGCGAGCTTAAAGCGACCAAAACCATCGCTGTTGTCATAGGAGCGTTCATCGTCTGTTGGCTACCTGGTTTTATTATGATAGTTTTAAGTTTGTGGTGTGAAAAGCTTGCTTCCAACCGTTCGTGGAAAACAAGAATCTCTCACTGGCGATTAGAATCATTTTTGTGTTCGTTTTGCCGGTCATGAACAGCTCATTAAACCCTCTGATTTACACGCTCTTCAACAAGGAGTTTCGTCAAGCCTTCAGTAGGATGTTGTGTTTGGGCCGGTCGCGAAGAAGTGAAGCCGAGGAGTTTTCTGTAACCGAGCATGCAAATACAAGAGCGAGTATACAGCATTCGCGAAACAGCGGGAGAACATCATGGTTTAGTTTGAATGGACGAGATAAACGGCCGAGTTGAACGGCAAATTTTACCGGGGATTTTAGACAAGATGCCGCGCGTGTTTGACTGTTACAGCCGCGAAAACACTTTATTGGCGATTGTTGCGAAATAGGGGACAAGGACCGCTAATCGGCTAGAATCTTGACTGAGATGTCATCGATCGAAAGAAGGGATTTCAACTGTTGAAAAAGCAGAGTAATTCTAAATATTTTGACAACAAGACAAAGCCACTTCTCTTTCACTTACACCCCTGCCGCGATTTTATTTTATTACATTTTTTTCTAGCAGTGAACGGGACATTTTTACTAAGTCTACGCCCGTAACGCCGAGTTACGGAAAATTAATTCGACTTTGGGTTGGTTAGAATTGCTCTCAAAATGGTGCTTGTAAACGATTATAGTCAAAAGATTTTTTGTGCAACAGTTTTCTATCGGTGACTTCAAAGAGTCGCCAGTTCAAACAATCCTTAAGTTCTTTTTAAGCGAAAGAAAAATATTCGCCAAGGAAAATGGAGTGATTTTCTAGATAGATTTTTTTTTGTCTTGTAAAGAGAATATAGTTTAACGAGATAGTGAGTAAATTAAGAAAAAATTGTCTCACAAGTCTGCAAAGTTGACAAGGAACAAAACCTCTTCCATTGTGACAGCAATTGAGAGTACACACAACACCGGTGTATGATTGGAACAACTTTATTACTTTACGTCTTTAGATCTATAATTATGATGGCTAACCATGTCATTAAGCTACAATTCATTTCACTCAAACGAGACCTCGGTATTCGTTTCAAATATTCAAAAACAGTAAAAGACAACGGCAACACTTCTGTTTGCTGCTGTAAAATGTCATTTTAAGAATGTCTAACCCTAGAGATATAATACCTTGGATTATGGTAAAATATGGTAATTAGGGATAAATTTTCCTTTTATTTTGTGATGTTTTTGGCGTTTATGATATTTACGATAGATAGTGTGAAAAGTTTGTTTCAGTTAGGTTCGAGTTTTGCGAATCTAAGCAAATTTTGCTTGTCAAAGCCGGAATTCTGTTTTTGATGAAGACAATTAAGAGCTAAGATATGTTAATACTTTGACGTATAACCTTGTAATAGCATTATCAAGCGCTATCTTTTGAGGTCAGTTTACTGTAAAACAGAAGTTTTCTTCAATCGTTCAGTTTGTAAGGCTGTAATTTGCAATGTACAAAGATTAAAACTGTGAACACTCCATTTTAATTTCTAGCTGTGTCTGTAGGATTCTCGTCCTTTGTTCTTTTAATTAACAGCTGTTCATAAAAAACTGATGAATTAAAAAGAGTTAAGCTTATGCGTGGTGGTTATTTCTTTTACGTTTGTAATAGAAGTGAGAAATGCAAATTTAGAAACTAAAACTAAAAAACGTCACATCTGACGATCTTTTCTTCGCGCGATTTATATTTGTGATCTTGCGCTTTTTTTTAAATTAACTTTTTCGTGATTTAATCTGAACGTTTTGCATCACGACCATCTTGTAAATTGTTGGACTGAACAAGAACATAATTTTGAGGGTCAAGACCATCTTATTGTTGGATGAAAAAAGTTAGTTGTGTTTTGTTGCGTTCGGAGAAGGAATTGTGTTGCACATATGGATCATTCATCATCCGGGACCTTAATTCCTGGTGCAGGATAAATGTAATTACATAAGTAATACGAACTCAAAAGAAGCCAAAAAAAATCCCTGGACTCTAAATTTTGGCTTATTTCATTCCATTTGACCTTGATAATTAAGAAGGCGATTATTCAAGATTGCACGTCATCCAAAAATTTGTTGGTACTCTTTCTTGCCTTCCTGTAAAGTTTGTTACACTATTTTGTCAGCTTTTTGGTCGATTTTGCGTTCAATAACAATTGTAAAAGTAATTTCCTCGCTAAAGTGAAGCAATAAATCAAAATTCAAACCACATAAATGAAGACAATGTGTTTGTTTATTTGGTGTTGATTTGATATTTCGCGATCGGCTTCGAAGGACTTTATTAGAATAACACTGGTTGTTGTCATGGAAACCAAGAAACTATTTTCAGTGACTGTCGATCTCGGTGTCGTAATTTTTGTGAACGCCCAAAACTTAATTACTTACAAAGATCTTCCTTTAGCATATTTATTCAAATGGTTATCTCAAAAGAGCCAACTTAAGCCAGTGACGTTGGAATAAAAGCCTCTGCTTGTGTTCTTAATATCCCCCGTAGTAACAGAATTTGTTATTTAAGCCTTTAGCTTGCAATTGGTTGATAAGCGATTAAGGCACAGCCATTTAAGAGGACAGGAATCGCGTATGATAAATAAAAATCAACAAACGTCACTTTTAATTTGTGCGGCCCTTTATTAAGATGTATTTCTTGCAAAATGTGTTTATTTTAAGGGCTTATGTTTGCTTCAATTTATATTTTTGACCTTACAAGGCCACGATGCAGGAAATCTGTCGCCATATCGTTACTGTTCAGTAATATTGATCAAAAAGCCCATTCAAAGCCAAGACTACTTATAGTTCTCAAGCTACAAATGATTATAATAAACTTGACCAACTTTTTAGTTTTTAGCCATAAGGCATTACATATCTGACTCCTATTCGTTATTAATAACATTCCTACATTTGTTAGCAGCTGAAGTGTTATCACTGCTTTTCCAAAGTCAGTTACAAGGTACGTCCATTAGCAGTGGGTTTTCAGTGGTTCCTTTGTCTATAAAAGCGAGGGATTCTCACCCGTCAGCGCAACGTCTTTTTAAAGGTTTAGTCCAACGAATGATCTTGGCATCGTTTTTCCCTAAGTACGAACACGCTATTAACAGAGCATTTTGACAGAGATTTTCGTGATTAATATGGCCAGTGTTTACACAGCAAAATTGCAATAGATCCGCCCTTTCTTTGTTAAGTATTTCTTTTCACCAAACTGTCAAACTGTTCCCTTAATCAAAGTACTTTTCATTTGCTTTGTTTGCGCAATTTACAATCCCCCAGTTTTGTTGTGTAGCTCTGTGTAAGCATCCTTACATTAACAGTAAACCTTTCTTTTATATCTAGAAGCTCTTAGCTTTTTAATCTGTGCCTGCTTACTTGCGTAAATCCGTCTAATCAGTTTAAGCAAGTTACTTTGCCTCCTTTCGCCATCTGGGATGCTAATTGTTATTGATGGATTGTTCAATTGCTTTGCTTTACGTTTTGCTCATCAACAACAAACCATCATTAAATAAGACCGCGCACAAATCGTACGCATAGTTTAGAAGCTTCTACGTCAAATTATTGATAACCCTAAAACACTGTAGAGTCCAAAAGACAACACTCACAGAGCAAAAAACAACAGCAGCACTTGAAAATTAATGTGTTTATCATGCATTAGCTTCCATATCAATGCCCAGGCGTACCGACCTTAGTATTATGTTATCGATAGACTAATATGGAACGCCATATAGTACAATATCATTTGAAAGCACTGTATAACCTTTGCCGCTAGACTTAGTGTCCTGTGACTAATGGAGCTTAATATCTTTAACAGAAGCCCTAGTCAAACGTTCAACTGGAATGGCTACCCTGCGACTGAGCGAAGCTTTCTTTTTGGCATGGTTTTTTTGGTTTTAGCATTAACGAAGTGGTTCGAGTCACCACGTCAGTCGCGTGGTTGGTTTGCTTACGTCCCCAAGCCACGCGAACGACTTCGCAAATGTTAAAAGTTCATGCCAGAAAGAAACCTCTACTCACAGGGTAAGGAACGGCCAGCTCGCGTCGATGCTTAGTCATCCACAGGGAATCATAATGGGTAAGAGTCTTACGTTCAGCGCTGATGGCATTAATACGCTTTTCTATTATCCATCCCTAAACAAAGCTATCATCATGCCTTAATTTAAGGGACAGTTTAATCTATTTTTAGAAATAACTTGAAAGTCTGCGAGGGTCAATATTTCATTGATGGCCGCATCTAAGCACTTTCACTCTCTTCTCGACTTTTTTCTTATACAGGAAAAATAAGACGCGTCTTACATAGGACAAGTCTTAAATGCAGTCATCGATAGTCTTGCGAACTTTTCTGTATTTGAATTTATTTTAGCACATTTCGTCTAAAAATAAGATTAGTCGACTTTAATAATAAGACGCGTAATAATATTTTAATAATTTTATTCATATAGCGCTAAAACCCTGTAATTGAGAAAAGACGCGTAATTAAAATAGAATATAAAAAAATCTAAATTATAAAATAAAATATTCAATATAATTCAAAATGACCTTCGCGTCTATTAAATAAAACATGTCAAAACAAAGGAATCGCATACGTTATGCTTTTTTAAATAAAAACGTTTTTGCGCCTTGTTGGTTGCCGTTGAAGCACGGGCAAATCTCTAGACATGAAAACGAGTCAATTTAGGAACAGAATAGAAGACTCTGAACCATTTTTCAACGAGCTGTTCTTGAACCACTAAATATTCTTTAGATGAAGAACAATGACCTCGTATAACTGGTACAATTCGCGTCTTATGTAAGACGCGTCTTATTTTTCCTCGTATAAATGGCCCTAATATTTCATTGATGGCCGCATCTAAGCACTTTCACTCTCTCCTCGACTTTTCTGTCTCAGATGAAACTGGTGCTAACGTTTTTACCTTATTCTTTCATAAATTAGGCTCCTAATCTCACTTTATTTGCAGTCATCTATAATCTTGAAGTATTCTTTTAGGGCAAAGATATTTGAATTTAATTTTAGCATATTGTGATCCTAAAAGCGTAGCGATGAGTCGTATGCTTCCAGTATAACAAGGGCACCCAACATCAATTTTCGGAAAATATCTGTTCGGAAGACGATTTGAGATCCAGAATTTTCGGAACATTTTTTGTAAAATTTCTTGCTTGCCTACCTCTCCTAGGATTTTCGAACATCTAAAACTTGGTATAACTGCCCATTTTTAACGGATTTTTACCCTAAAAAGCTCAACTAGAATTTTCGAGAGCCTTTTTTTTGGCTGAAATTTTCGAAAAGGTAAGTTTTGATTCCTATAATTTTTGGATCTCTAGACTTTCAGCAGCTAGGAAATCCGAACAGATTAAGCATTGTTAGGGGGATAAAAGTATGCCTATATCTACCGTTTAAATACTGCTAAAATACGTTTAACAATGCTATGTTTAAGTGGTTTTGAACTATATTCTCATTGGGTGCCCCTGGCATGTGCGGAGACGTTCCCGTCGCTTTCATTCGCGTAGTTGGCTAAGAAACCTCTTCTCAGGATAAAACTAAAGGCTATTTTAATATTTACTCTTTATATACAGCTCTCTAGCTCTCAGAGGAAATGGCCGGCCAGCCAGCCTCAGTGGTCATCCTAAAAATGAAATAGGCTCCTTTTCCCGAGAGTTTTTGCTGAAAACACTTCTGTGCATATTATATAGAAATTGACTGATGGAGCACAGGGCTATTGACTCAGAGGCATGAGGGCGAGAGGAATAATTGTTTTAGTAAAATCTAACTAGTTGGTCAAAAATATCGAGACAAAACAAAAACAATTTTTTAGCTAAGCTAAAAACAGTGGCGATTTTTCAGCCGCCATTGTTTTGGTTTAACCCCAAAAAAGCCGGCGTTTTGTACCTAAAATTTTACTCCACTTTGGGCTTTAACATATCCAAGACTAGTAGTAAAAGCTCAACCAGTCAAAAAAGGGGGACTGCACTCCATTTTTGATAATAGACCACTAAATCAAGATACTGTGTCGAGATTAAAGAAACCTGTTAGTATAGCGGTTTATTGTTGTTTACCCTTAAAGCCTTAGAAGTGATCACCTTCTTATTTCTTCCTTAATAACACCCCTTTATTAAATGTAAAGGTTATGAGAATAACGGAATTGATCACTAAGGATGAAATACTCTCTCGCCCAGCCGTTGTTTGGGTAAGAGCGGCTGTGTAGGAGATTAAAGAAAAAAGTCTTGATTTTAAAAACAAATTCTCTCTGCGAATACTGATCCCGTATTTCCACTCCTTTGTCACGAGAACTTCTTTCATCGCTATTCCGAATAGTAGTAGCAGCAGCAGCAGTAAAAACGTTTGTATTGGTATATTTAGTTATTAAACGAGGCGCATGAGCGACTTTGTTCTGCGCTAGGGCAGTGCGACCAGCCAGGACATGGGCAACACTCTTGACAGCCTTACTGCAAAGCCTGCACATTACCTTACCCATCAAATCCTTGTGCGTTTTCTGTCGGGCATGCAAACATTCCTGCCACCGTATGTATGTGTTGTCGCATTTCTTTTTTGCGGAGACAAGTTTCTACCGGAACAGGCCAGTCCTGGTCTTGCAGCTCCTTAAGTGACTTCTACTCCAGGCACC